TATGCATGCATTCTATGTTTCAAGGTTTACCAGCAGGCCCTGTGGTTAAATTAAACATTGATCTATATTACTCACTTTCCAACAGCGAACACAGTGACAGCCACAGATGACTTCTTCCTTTTATGAGCCTTGTCGTAAAGGTATGCTTCAAACATGCCTTCCCAAATGATTGGAGCTTTCCACGTAGTGCAGGTTTGGACGTCACCTCTGGATCTGAAAAGACATTTTATTTATTTAATATTTAGTTGTGGACATAAACAGACTGTGATAAGCCCAACCTGTTTTGATACTTTGCAGTGAGATCACACTGGGGTGGTTGGAATGTTTACCAGTGACTGTGGTGACACTGACTTTTAACAATCAGCAAGTTGATAAAAATCGCTACAAGTATTGATTATATTATTCTAGAAGATACACACGCAATATATCACTATTCTAACCATATGAATACTTATGTCACCCTAACCAACCCCTGCACTCCCTACGTTGCTTCTATTAGAGCTAATGTTATTTTTGTGAGCCTATGACTAACACAGTTGGGATAAGCAGACTGTGCATCTTGTGATTATATTAAGAAGGAATCTGAAGAATGAAAGCGTGTTGCAGAGGTCTCACTTACTGCAAACTCAGGGTAGCATCTACGAGGTTGTCCATAGAGAGCATCTTTGCACTCCTCAAGGTACATTTCTCCATCGGAATAATTCCAATCACTACCCTTAACAGAACAATAAAACAAAATTACAGGTTCTGCAAATATCTGGAACAGAAACAAGAATCATTTTTCAAACCATTAGTGTACAAGATTTTTGGTTACCTTAATGACGACACAGTGAAGTAGAGGACGCAGACCAAGAAAGGTAAGAAACACAAACACTTCTTGTGGCTGCAAAAAACAAGCTAAATTATTAACACAAAATATGTTCCCAGGAAATTATGATAAATAGCACGTGTAATCCGTTAAACAGTAAGAAGGGATCTCAACTTGTTGTGCAATTAGAAGTTGGTCTAAAAAACTCAAGGTTTTCCTAGCTATACTTTCCACTAGTTTTACTGCTAAGAAAACAACTCTACTACAACCTAATCTATAATAAATAATAATTTCATGGTGATTCTGTAGCCAAATATATTTCCTGAAATTGCAAATTCATAAAATATTCTATTAAAAAACAGAAATATTCTATTTTTAATTCTTCTGTTAAAAAAAGATATGCAAATATATAGCCTAATTATCATTTAATACAAATTCAATGGAATCAATCTAGTTTACATAAACTCTTCGCCTGTTATTTCTCCACCGGTGCTAGTAATACGGGAACAATTTCGCTTACCTGAATTTGGCCCTTTTACATATTGAATACAGCCAGTTCATGGTGAACATCTGAAAAGGCACAAAAGATTAAAGTGGTCACAGTTGAAATCTGATGAGAACTGGAAAGCATGACTCATACGGACCAGTCCATTTTCCAGACACTAGCCGTTTAAACTTTCTCTAATGATGCTAACACGCTGGTTTAAGTTTAGCCAAACAAACTACACGCTTTCTGGACACCCCAAACTGTACGAATTACGTTACAAATGTTGCCAATGTCTTGTATGTGGAGGCGATCTTACCATCAACTGCGTTTCTCGTTTGTTTGGCTAAAAGTTCTCCCAAGACGGTGTGGTGTTGGTACGCACGTAATCTAGATGTCCAGTGCGTAAAAATAAAACTCAACTACACGCGGTCACTTACCAAATATACATGAAGGAAAAGAGAGCAGTGTCGTGGAGAAAAAACAGTCAACGCAGCTTACAGTAGTTGTTGTAAGCTTAAGCTAGTCCCAGTAGAGAGAATGGGAGTGGACAACCCCTAGGAAAGCAAGCTACTCTACAGAACAGGTAGCGCACAATGTTGTCTAAGTGTATTTACGCAGCCTTTATGACCGTGGTGAAGTTAGTTTTACGTTAGACGTTTTATGACCGTGGTGAAGTTAGTTTTATGTTAGACGTTCGATATTCAGTTACGCATCAACAGCGGAGATGTTCATTCCCTGTACCCCGCTTGCTCGATCACGGTGCGGGGAGCTGTACACCAAAGCTCCGCTGAGTCCGCGGGTTAGGGACCGTCAATAAATTACAATTGCATTGAATGGAGTCTGCTAAAAAAAAAAATAATAATAATAATAAAAATAAATTAAATAGAAAAAAAGAAAAAGGGAATCAAATAAAAAGAAACAAAAAAGGGGTTGTGCATGTACGTTTTATAAAATATTTGTTATTTTTATATATTTTGAGGGTTAATTAGTAAATACATTTTTTCAATATCTTCCAGATCAATTAATCTAAAAACGCCAAACCAAGTTATTATAGTAGTCTTACTCCTCAGGTATCACGCACACCTTTTGGTTTTCCAAATTAACCCTTTGTGAAATTTTTAGGAATTTTTTTTAATCTTGAAAATCTGTGATTTTTTTCAATAGCTTCTAAGGTAGATGACCTACCAACTCCAAACCAAGTTATTATAGTAGTCCTACTCCTCAGGTATCACGCAAACCTTTTGGTTTTCGAAATTAAACACACCCCGATTGCACACCCCTCTACTCTTTATCACACGAAGACCACAGTTCTTTAGTTTAAGGTCATGGTTTAAGGTCAAGGGTATATTTCCTCTGTTATTTCTGGCCATTTTTGTTTTATAATTGAGTTGTTTTGTAAGTGTTGCTGTACTTATTGTTACGCAGATAAAAAGTGCGACCTACTCTGTGAAATCTACTCTGTAAAGTCTCCTCTGTGAAGTCTACTGTTTGAAATCTTTGTACGATTTGCTCTGTGTCAAGCTCAGCTAAATGTGCCTTTTCCGTTAAGCGATATGTGATTTTCGATTTTGTGATTTTCGATTTGCCTACTCTTATAAGTTCTAGAATGTGATGATGTCATACTCCCAGACGGGGCAAGAGCCACGTTTCCCTGTTGACTGAGGCCGAGTGTTGTTAAGAAGTCACTGATATGAGACAAACCTCGATACAGTGCATAGCCCAATGCTCCGAGAAGCTGTTGCCGCGCACTGGCTCCCCCGGCTTAGTGCAAGTGAAGCTTAAGCGCAAACTGTCTTACAAAGGTCATTACGAACATCAGTTTGTGAATACTCAGCATTTGAGAGAAGCTTTGGTCTGGCTCAAACACAATAACATCCACTTTGAAGATATCTTGTTTAATGAAGACTGGATAAATGATTTTAGTAGAGAAGACCCCGAAGAACAAGAAGGGGAACAACAAGACGAAGAGGAAACAGTCGAACCAACAGTCGAAGGTACAAATCCACCTTCACAAGAAGCCACACAAGATGAACATCTGTACGATAAACAACAGCACGGCGTTTTCAATGACACATGCTCTATGCCTTTAGACTTGGGTCAAGAAACGCTGGACCAATATCTGGATAATGTCATTAGTGTTGCTCCAGCTGAAGGAAACAACCCAGTAAGCACACTAAATGATCACACCAATGAGGCCAAATGTTTTCCTATCATTTTTGTGACCGGTACAAATACATATCATACACCCAGAAAATATCCACTCACATTAGCAAAATATTTCAAATTAAGACTTTTGAATGCTGACACTAGATTTGCTAACAATCTAGAATACCTTTTTTATGCTGATGGCACGTTGATTTTGTACAATGTAATTTCTTGCGTGTCTATTGCCACACGTAAAGGACATTTTGATGGAATCAGCGCAGCTGAATCTCAGGACAATGACTGTAATACTTTAAAACACATTGTTCAGTTTAATGGTGGTTTTCGTTTTTTGTCACCCATACTGGGTAGTCCCGCTTTTTGGAGACAATGCAGGTCTGACGTTTTTGCAATGATTCGTCAATTGGGAATTCCAACCTGGTTCTGTTCGTTCAGTGCAGCTGACCTTCGCTGGCAAAATTTACTTAAAGCACTTTTGATCCAAGAGGGAAGAACACAGACGGTTGAAGATTTGAACTGGGCTGAACGGTGTAACCTTCTGAGGAAGAACCCTGTGGTTGCAGCTCAAATGTTTGACTATAGATGGCATTGTTTTTTGAGGCTTGTTCTCCTGTCATCTGCTCATCCCCTTGGTAAAATTGTCGATTATTTTTACCGGGTAGAGTTCCAAGCAAGAGGCTCTGCCCTTTTCTGGGTACAAGATGCACCTAGAATTGATCAAAATACAGACGAAGAAGTCATCTCCTTTGTAGATAAACATGTTACCTGTCAGCTTCCAGAAGATGATCCCAAATTATTGGAAATGGTTAAAACTCTACAGACCCACTCGAAACATCACTCTAAAACTTGTCGGAAAAACAAGACCATCTGCAGATTTAAATTCCCACGACCACCATCTCAGAGAACTTTCATCAAAAGAGCACGGCAAACACCCATTTGTCCGAAATGCCATTTGAAGAATGAAGAGGCAGAGTGCGTGTGTCCACCAGATGATCCAACTCGGATGGGCAAAGAACACGCAC